ATGGTGTATGTGGCAGGACATAGGGTGTGGCTGTGAAAATTAAAGCTGATAGAATTAAGGAATGTAGCTCATCTGAATATTTTCCATTTTGTCTCTGGGTAAAAAGGGTTGTAGGGTAGAAAATAATTCATGATCTACAAGGCTGTATAGACACTTTCAGACTCTATCAAAACTAGAAAGGGAAAACTGGGTGACTCCAGCTCAGATATGGCAGCAGTACTCCATTTTCAGCCTGATCTGGCTCTTGTGAAGGTAGAGGAAAGCAAGAGGTGTCAGGTATTTACTGGAACAGTATGAGGAACCAACCATCTTTCCAGCATCTTTAGCAGTGGATCATATATATGAGTTCCACTTGAGGTCTGGAGTAAGATTAGGTCCTAATAGGCATTTAAGGCAAGAGACATCTTTGAGAGAATTCTGATAGGTGAAAATTCAAGGTCTACTTGCTGATTATGAAGTATTACTAGTTTGATTTTTGGGGTATTGAATGTGACTAGCTAGTTTTTCTCCCATTGAGTTGTTAGAGCTAGGTCAGAGGAGAGATCAGCTGCCAGGCTCAGGTCATCTAGAATTTTGGCATCCTTAATGTAAAGCAGAAATAATTTAACTGAGAGATTAGCCTTGGAAAATGCTTACATTGATCATGGACCTCAGAGTACTGGCTGTTAGCAGTTACTGTCATGGACCTATCTGTTAGGAAAGACTTGATAATTGAGAAAACTATTGCAGTGATTCCATAGCTGGAGAGTTTGTGTAGCAATCCTCTATGCTACACCTTGTCAAGAGACTGATATATCTAGTGCAATTGTCCTTGAGATATATTTATTGTCTAATATTTTTGAAATATCTGTCAAATATTCAAGCTACTATAAAATTTACTCAGAAGTATAAAAGATTTTATTAAAATTAATGTATTTATTTATGCAAATGGTAATAATTATGCCATTTTTCATTTGTATTATATAGTTTTTTATCATGAATTTCTTTCATTGCTTTTTAAGTTCATTTTGAAAAACATTCAATATAAGTTTTCAGACATTTGCTAGTGAAATAAAAATGTGTAGGTTATTTGCAATTAAATTTTTGAATTTGCATAATGTGATTTTTAGTTTTTGTTTTAAAGAAAATTATTGAATGATTTCTTTTTCTGTTTAATCCTTGTTTTGAATATTGAAATTTTTATAATACATTTTTAGAATCATGATGAAAATGTTTTTAAACATTTTCAACATAGAACTGTAATATTTTCTTGCATGATTATATCTTTTGAAAAATCAAAAATTCAATTTATTTTACAGTAAGTATTTTCTATAATGAATAGTTTTGAAACTTTACCAACACAATATATTAAGTGCTGAATAGCTGTTTTTGTTTTCATGAGTACAATAAATTCATTAGTTACTTTGAGAAAATTTCCTATATTATTGAAATTGTTTAAATAACTGGACATTTTACATTATGGCTTTATTTTTTTTCTATCTTTTGATAAAAGAATCCAGTCACTGACTTGACAGAAATGTTAATTTTTTTTTTGCCAGTTTTGCATTTTCTACTTTTCATTGTTAAAATTTGTAACAATTATATAAGTGGTTACATTCATTCTCCTGAATGTGAATACCCATTGTTTTCTTTTAATTATATGACATTTTTTGTCTGAATTCAAATAGCTTTAGGAGCCATTATTGGCTTGGAGTAATCTTATTACATCGAGTCAATTTTTAACAACTGGGAAATATGGAAGAGATAAATAAATGAGAATTTTTATAAAAACTAAGATTAGCAATGTAATGCAAAAATTTTAAACTATTTGCTTCAAAATCAAAATGCTGTCTACATTCTTTTATACTTGACTAATAAAATATGACATTTTGGTTCAAAATGAAAAGGCTTACAAATAGAAAAATTTAAAACTTTATTTTCTATTCAACCTATATGGATTTTTCAGTAAGTCAGAAAATGACTCTTCACATGAAATATATTTTACTTTACTCAATTGAAAAACAATTTGAGTTTTTGCACTTAATTCATTGCATAGAGATTAAAAATGGAGAATAATAATTTATAAAACCAAGGAATACACTTGAATATTTTAAGGCAAAGTAGTAAGTTTATTGTTCCCAGATTAAATAAAACACTTTCTATCTACCCCACCCACCGAAAATTTAAGTGTCATGGTTATTAACCCTTTGAAAACAGCAGCTGCAAACTTTTTCATGCACATTTGCCTTTTTATTGCTAAAACCATTTGAGAACAACAACAATGGGACTGGCTGCTTTTGTCCACTTTGATTGTTATCTGAATTTGAGAAACACTTTTACACTTTTATTATCTTATCATAAGGAAATAAATTTCAGAAAGAAATCCAATGCTGCATAAAAGCAAAACTGTATGAAAGAATGACACCAAGTGTCATAAGTGAATATAACAGTCACTCACCATCAGCAGAAACTGGTTTGTTTGTTTGTGTGTGTGTGTGTGTGTGTGTGTGTGTGTGTGTGTATATATATATATATATATATGGCCTGAAGATTGTGTTCAAGCATGAGAGACTGTCGCAACCTGGTGTTGACTTCAGTGTCCACTTCTATATTTACATACATTATCTCTGATATTGAGCACTTTTACCCATAAATATTGCATACCTTAATACATACATACATATATATATATATATATATATATATATATATATATATATATATATATATATATATATATATTATATATATATTTTTTTTTTGCTTTAACTATATTTAGTTGATACACTTGTTTGAGTAGACATCCCTGTTTTTTTTAAACAGTGTAATTAATGTCTACCTGCCTAGAGAGTGTGCATCTTAGCAGAAAATCAAACCTGTATTCTCTTTTTAATCGAGGAAACCATCTTCAAAAGTCACATGATACGTGAGTATATACAATATATATAATGGTTAATACAAATATAAAATTTGTCACTTATTTCACATTTGTCAGAATATCTTTTTATTGTTTCTATATTTTGAAAACATTTTAACCAATTTATTCTTTGGCTTTCATTAGGCATATGTTCATTTTTATAAGTTACTTAGTACTTTTTCATTTTTCATTTCTTTAGGCAAAACCCCAAAAGACAAAGATGAAGATATTAGTCCAAGAATATGTGGAATAATTAAAATAATCTCAGCACTAATTTCTTTAGTATTCACAGTCAAAACAAGATTATAAAAATTTACATTAGGTTTTATTCTTTATTTCATTTGCTATTAGCCTTTTTGTTTGTGTTGTTTTTGTCTTTTGCTGCTTGGAAAATTCAAGTTCTGTCTTAAGTAAATTTTCTCTTAATTTCCACTTAAGAATACAAAGCTATTAAATTTGCATTCTATTAGGCAGATGACTTTGATACATAAATATATTTTTTTCAAAATCCTATTAAGGATTTCATTTTGGATGTATATTTATATATTTTTTAACTACAGTAGCTGTATTGGTTTTCTGGTTCCAGCATTAGAATTAAATGATTCCTTGATTGAAGTTGAATTGGATACAATCAATAAGTTTGCAACTTGACAGTGTTGGGTGAATTTTGATTTAAAGTTTTCAGTGCATAATGTTTAACATCAGGAAGGAGTTTGTTAAAAATAAATATTTCTTGTGTGAAATGAATGCCTTTTTTCATTAGGTTATGGGCTTATTTATATACATTCATATAATTAGGGATTAGAAAATTATGATACATGAATGTATAATGCTTGTCTCTATTTTTAGTAATCATTATGTTGAATTGATTTTTAATTAATAGATAATAGAAACTATTTCACTGCAAATTTGTTTCAGTTAATGTATTTTAACATAATTTGTACAGACTTTCTCTATATCAGTGATAAACTATGATACTTAGGAACTGGCATAATATAGTAATTGAAAATTTGATTTCAGAAAGTGCTTTTAGATTGCACTTTGATTAAAATTTAAAAAAAAAACTCTAATAATGACAAATATGGAATTTTACTCCTAATTTTGACTGATTTGCTTAACATATGAATGCAATTTACTGTATTACCAAGCTACTTTTGTACTGTATATCTTGTTTGCTTTAATTTCAATTCCTTTTGAGCATATGTTTAAAAGTAACCTTTGGCTGGTCTCTAAGGTCTTTGATTGCAGGAAAAACAGAAGTCAATCTGACAGCATTATAAATTAATGAAGAATTTGCTAATGGTTGGTGTTTTGTACTTAAACTATTATACTCTTACTAAATATTTTTTTTTAATTTACATGTAAAATATTCTAAAGTTTATACTTATTGCTTTTTAAATATATAATAAGAGCTTAATTACTCTAATCTGATGAAAATACTGGATATATAATTCTACGAGTATTGTAAATCCATTTAAAAAGTGTTTTTTTTTTTTTGTCTTACTGAGAAACTCTTTTTGTCACACCCTCCAAAAACTGATTTGTATAAAAGATTAACTTGACGCAATAAATTTGGGATGTTGCGTATCACAATTCTGTAATGATTTAAATATTTAATTTGGATAGATCTATGTAAAATTAAGTTATAATAAAATACTTTTCCTTTTAGTTCTTAAATTTTCTTCTGACAATTACCCAATAAAGTAAAATGCCCTATATAAAAAAATAATCTTGTGATTACTGAAATTTTTAATTTTTTTTTTTTTTTTTTTGTAATTTGACAAATCCAGAACAAGAGCTTTTTTTCTTAATGATTTATCATCATCATTGAATTTAAAATCACTGTCAGTTATAAGTTTAATAAAGAATTTTTATTGTGAGATTATAACTTAAAATATATACTTTAGTATGATTGTTTCTATTATTCAGTTGCTAGAAGAGCCAAAATGGTTGCCACTTGTCAGAATGGATATCAAATTTCTACAAATATCTCTGCTGATAAGGGCTGGAGGAAGATACAGTTCACATTCACTGTTAAGACATTGCAACTGAATTTGATTTTATATTATTGTCATAAGATATTCTATTTTCTTCCTATAACAAGCTTCATCTTCAGTTATTACCAAATACAAGGTATTTGTTTAATTCATTATTTTCAAAATATTTAAGTTGAATATTTTAGTTTTTAATTTTGTGTATGTTTCAAGAACTATTTTAACATTATTTTTACTTAGAAATTTTTGATATTGTAAATTGATTTCTTTCAACAGGATTTAATTTATTTAAAATATAAACTGACACATTTAATTACTAAATCTGTGTTATTGTACATTTTTAAGTTTAGTTTATGTAATATGTGTAAAACTCAATTGTTTACTTAGCTTAGTTTTTTTTTGTACAAAGCCAAAATTACGGTGCACCCAATGAGGATTGACCTGACTATTCAGTAGTAATTGTCAAGCAGACTAGCCTGCTAAACACTGCAGCTGGGTACATATTGGATTTAAACATTTGAGCAAAGTAATATACTTAAATGCAAAAGTGAGATAAGGAATCCATGTATACAGAATAAATTAATTTTCATAGAATCTTATAAGGGAGCAAATCATGCTGACATTTTTTTAATTACTTTATTATTTTAATAAGAAATAATAGAAAATTATAGAAATTTGTGAAACTTAATTATTTTTTTTTTTTTAAGTCTAATGTACACAGAAATTATTGTAATAGTAATTTATTCAAAATTTTTATATACATTAACATAAATTGACAACTTTTAAAAAATTTATTAGAACAAATTTGAATATTTTAACATTTTATTCACTATTGATTTTAATTAAGTAACTTGATTTCATTTTTTCCTGAAAATTTAATGTGTTAATATTTAAGTATTTTTAATTATCCTAATTATTTGTTTTTCTTTCACAATATTTCAGCTGGTTCATTCTCTCATTTTCATTAGTTGATATTTGCTTTGATGTTGATGGTTTGTTCTGCTTACATAATCCACTGACAAGATTTGAAAAAAAGCTTCCCTTTCAAGATTTTACAAGACACTAAGGCAGCAGATATGACTCAATATCAAAGTTTTTGATTTTTCTCAACAAATTAATATTTATTGAAACAAATTCTAATTGTCTTGAATCCTAATTCATCTTTATTAGTAAAACTGGCTAAACAGTTTCAAGTTTATATAAATATTCTTATATGCACATTTTAAAAGATTTAACATTTTAATAAAGTTACTTTACTATGTATTTCTCTTGATAAAATTATTGACCATCTTTAAAATATGGTGTCTCAAAAGAATGGTTTTTTCCCTTGCCCCATCTGTTATTTTAACTATTTTCACTCCTTGGCAATGTTTATTGTTTTAAAAAGCTATGATTAGAATTGTAATAAAAACTAAACATGAAGAAAGTGAATTTATACATTTATTTTTGAATTTGAGAATTTACAACAAAAGTTTTACACAGTATTAGATTTTTTTTTTCTTTTTTACAAGAATATTTTTATACTTGCAACATTCTAAAAACTAATGCAATTGTATTAAAACTAATGCAATGTAATATTTATCATTTACCAATCTTATAAAGAAGGAAATATGAAAACAATTTTTTAATCATAAATTTATAAACATTTACTAAATTATTAAAATATGTGAAACTAAAGAAATCCTTATTTACCTTTTATGCAGTTCAAATTGATTGGCAATTAGCCAGTGTTTTACCAACCATTCCAATAAGCAGGCAGTCCAATAAATAAATAAATAAATAGTGTTTATTATTTTTGTTGTCAGTTCTCAAGAACAAAGAAAATATATAAATCTACTTTCATATGTTTAGATTTTATTAAAATTCTAATTGTCAATTTTTAAAACAATAAACATTACCAAGGAGTGAAGGTAGTTAAAATAATAGCAGTGTCAAGGGAAAAAAAGTCCTTTTGACACCATTTTTTTTTTCCAGCATGAAGGTTAAGATTGACAAAGAATTATATTAAGCATTTATATAGAACTATTATGTAACAAATAGGTGCTTTTTTATTTTTTCTAAATCTTTTGTTTATTCTTTTCTATTTAAAATTTTTGCTAAAATTGTATCTGATAAAATAGAATATTGTTAACGAAAGGTAATGGCTATTTTTACATAAGAAAAAATGTTGATTGGGTGAAAAATAATGAAATTAGAACTAAATTGTGGAACTTCATAAAATTGATAACTAATCAGCTTTTGTTTTGTTTTTTTGGTTTTTTCTTTGCTTAAAATGCAGTTTTTTTTGGGTTTTTTTAATGCTCCAGTTAAATTTAACAAAATAGCTAGATGTTTTTTAACTGGAATGTACATCTTAAAATGTCCAATCTAAAAAACAAAAAAGACACTGTTTCTAATAAAGTTTCAATGAAAAATTGACTTGGTGGTAGTTTTTGAGCTTTTAGTTTTATGACAGGAAAAATAGATTTTATTGATTAGATACATTTTTTTTTTTTTTTTTCCATTAAGTTTGTCCACTTAATGAAATGATTGCTTTTGTTTTCTATTTTAATTACATTCTGACAGATGGCTGTCTCGACTCTGCCATTGTCTACTTTAGTCTGTCATGAGAAGGCAGGTGGCATCTCTATCCACACCTTACATACCATCAAAACCTAGCTTACAACAACTGCTGCTACTGCTTTAATGCTTAAATTTGGACAGCATAAGGGTCAATGTGCTCCTTTCCCAATCTTCACTTTTTTTCTTCTTGAGGACAGTAAAGTGATAACAGCTGTAAAGTGATAACAGCTAAACTCCAACATTTTATTTTAATATCAAAGAAATGTGTAAGCTTCTTATTTTGTATTTGAAAATTTTCTATACTGAATGATAGATTAAGTAGATTCTTATTTCAAAATTTATATCACTGAAATATTTTAGTATTAGGATAAATGTTTCTAGTTTTGAAATATTTAAAAATCCTCTCTTCTGATTTTCTTAATAATTATTACCAGATGATTGATAAAATATTAAAATCCCACTTCAAAATGACTTTTACATTCCAGGACTGTGTGAGACAAATACCATCACCTTTGCACTTGGGATTGAAAACCAAATGACCTGAGATTCTATCTTCTATATTAACCAGCCTAATCTCCAAATAAAAGATCCACTTAATCTATGATTAAGTGATATGAAAAGAATTTTTATAGTGTATTTTTATAACTGAAAAATATTGCTTGTCTTTTTTCAACCTGTTGACCAATGAAAAGCAACCTAAATTTATATATTTCAATAATTTTCTTTCTTTCAATAATGCTGGGTTTTGTTATAGACTAAATGTATTAATGAGTAAATAAGTTCAAATTTAAGTCAGGAATTAAAAATTGCCTCTCCCATATCTTCAGTATTTTATTCACATTCATTTATTTGGCTTTAACAGCCAACATTGTGAGATCCAGTTAATGGTAAGAAGATAAGTTGAAACCTTACTGAAAAAAGTGGTAACAGAATATATGACTTGTTTCAAAATACTGACATTAGCTACATATTCTTTTTTTATGCTAATTATGTACTAATAAGAATTAACAAATTATTAAAAAAAAAAAAAAAAAAAATTGCTGTTGAGCCATTGATAAAAAAGATACATATTCAGTTATATTTTTATTCTGAATCTAGTTTTCTTTTATCTTTCAGGAAATATCTTGTAAGAAATATTTTGAAGAAGTTCAAAATTGAATATGCTAAAATATTAATGATACATGAAAATGTTTTAAATCCTGATGTTTTATTACTTGCAAGAATCACATGTCTTTTTTTTTCTGCAAATATTGATGTTAAAATCTTTCAGACTGATTTACAAAATCAGTCTTTCCTTTCATAGAATTATAAAATTTGCAGTAGCCACATGATGTAAATAAACACAAGCTAACAAAACCTTTCTTTGTTTATCTTCTTTCATTCCCTTAACTATTGAGTAAATCATTCAAGAAAAATTAATGTACTTATGTCGTCTCCTCTACTAACAAATTTAAGTTGGATGTTTTTTTTATTTAGCATAACACCTATATATATTTGTTTCAATATTTCCGTGTGTGTGTGTGTTAAAAATAAATGATTCACTATGTAGAATTCCAGTTTACTGCTAAACCCCATTCAATTTATTTGTTATGGATATAGCATGTAAAATTTAAAATTATTTTGCTTTTTCAACAAATATTATGTTCATATTTATTTTAACAGATGGCAAATGTTTTTGTAGGCTTGGGATTTTCTAATAATGTTCTTTTTCTCTCTTAAATGCTTTGAAGATTTAAAGTCAACATTTATATTAGCTATGTTTTTATCTTCTTTTTTTAATTAAATTACAGTGTAAAAGCTGCACTTATTAAATTATTAATAAAAAGAAAATTGAGCAAAATTGATATCTTTAAAAAAACTACTACTCAGTTATTTTTAATGTGATAATTGTTTTATTTTTTAGTAATTATATTCTAATAATTCATGCTTTTTACTCTAATTATATTTTATAGTTTTGGGTTTTTTTTTTATATTATATACATTAATTTATTCTTTATATTATCCCTGAATCATATTTACATTATATAAAACATTTTGCTTTTTGTTCCCAATCAACTTATAACCTGAACATTCTTATATATTTTAAAACAACTTTATTCGACCTGAATATGAAAAATTCTTTGTTTTTTATCTGCAATGAATATCATCATTTGTAGTTGATTTTTTCATAAAATAAAAATCTTTTAAATTTACCTATAATTATTTTCATGAAAATTGTGAGACTGCTTAATAAAATAGCTCTGAATAATAGAAACTGACTTTTATTGAATAGGATAATTGATTTTATTTACTTTGTTATTTAAATGATTTCTTTTTCTGTACTTTTCCTATAAGGTTCCCTCCCAAATTATATTCATTTATTTTATAATCAAAGTTTTATATTTTATTAAAGCACAATTATAATTTAGCTTCAATAATTTTTATATTAACATTTTTTGTTTAGCTAATATCAGTACATATTTTATACTTAGTAGAATAAATATAACCTTAAGTTATATTATTCAAGTTGAAGTGATTCTAAGAAAACATTCTTGTTTCATTTTTAGTTCACCGATAAGATATTGGTTAAAATAAAAT